CAATGCACTTAGAGGATATCTGAGTGACATGTGTATCAATACCTATAGATAGATAGATAGATAGATAGATAGATAGATAGATAGACAGATATCTGTCTGTCAAAGTGGACAGGCATTTTAATATTTGTCAATATCAAATGCCAGGGTAGTATGTGGTATGCATGGGAAACTCATATTTTTTTAATATTTTCACAGGGGCATTGTTGAGTCCAAGAGGGTACAGGAATTCCTTAAATTCCACTATCATAATGTAAATTCCACTATCATAATGTATCATCAGATGTTCTGGGTCCATATCCACAGCACTTGCCATACATTGAGGGGTTACTGATTTAGGGTTTGTTTCACCTGCAAACTCTGATTTATAGCAGCTCATTTTCTGTCACCAATTTTCTTCCCATCACAGCCAGTCTTCTCTGGAAAGAATGGTCTATACCTGATATGAACCTGGTTTTTGTTCTCTTAACTGCAGCCTGGACCTGTATTCTTTACAATAGGCATTGGTTCTACCATGAGGGTAGTTGTAAAGGTTCTTAGATACAGTAGGAAATCAGTTGTATTTTGCTATTGTTCCTTTTTTAGTGTACTTTTTTCTTTAAAATAAAAAAAAGAAATCTGGGCCTCGCTCTTCCTCTTCAACTTTTTCCTCTTGAGAGTTCTGCAGAGGTAATTAAGGATGTGGCCAAGTCTAGCAAGAAGTCGGATAGCAATGGAAAAACCTTTGAAATAGCAGAAAATACATGCAGAAAGCAGCTGAAAACTGCTTGAGTAGGGAAAGGCAGCTCTGACACTGCCATGCCGGAGTGGGACTTGCTTCCTTGAGGCCCAGAGGCTAAGATTCCCAAAGAAGTGCTCTGACGTTCCAACCTCATGGCAGTAGATTTGTCCAGGACCCACGTCAGCATGGTCGCTGTCAGGCCTAAGGTGACTCAGAGACTGGTAGACAGTAGCAAGGAGGCCTCATCTGAAAGCTTTTAGATGAGGTAAGGAAGAGAACAGGCAAAGCACCGTAATTCTTAAAGGTATTCCGCTGCCTCAAAAATAGGTAGATCTTGGCACCTTAGGTAATTACAATTGCAAACCTCATGTTTGCCTATCTTTTCTGTCACTCACTGAATTCACTCTGCATTTTACCTGACAACTGTCGCTGGCTTTTAAAGTAGAAATAAAGGGCATTGGGTAGTACAGTATTTGTGATACTATTAGTTACAGCCATATCAGATTAACAGATGACTGAAAGAATGGATATTTAGAATTAAAGGCTCACATTCTGGCTGAATATCATGTCATTTTTAAGTATAAAATTAGAAATGACAAGAAATACCTTTAAAATGAATAGGTCACTATTCTATTTAAATGTACCCTAAGCATTTCCGTAAGCCCTGAATTCCTCACAGGTGTTCTGCAGACAATCCCAAGAGGGTGGAACACCAACTACCTCCTTGAGCAGTTGTGTGATTTGGGCAGCTGCCTCTGCTTGTCATCTTTCCCCAGGATTCCTCAGAGCCAAGAGTATCTGCCAAGAGGAGTCAAAACACTGCTGATGACCAGGAATTGGATTTGTTACAGATGGAGGTGTTCCAGCCCTCTACATCTGCCAACTCCATTGTTAGAGGAGTGTGATAAATGGATTGAGTGCATCTGCCCTTGTGAGCTGACGAAGATCCAAACAGCTTTTAAAAATGACAGGAAGCCAGCCTTCTTTGGCTAAGTCTTGGGTGGTGTGCATCAGTCTACAATGGAGCCCTGAAAGCGGAGATGTGTGCAGGAAGGCATTTTCCAGGGATTTCTTCCCTTCAAGTTAGAAGCAACAGCCCTTTCATATGACTGGCCGAGACATATCATCTTTGGAACTATTAGGGAGAAAGGCTGCAATTAGTATTCCAGGACATGAATGAGGATTGCAAGAATATGATGCTATTAAAACATGCTTTAAAAATCACCTTGAGGTTTCTCAGTGATTATCATTGTATTGTTGTAGTTTGAGGGTCTATCTTCCTGGTACCCCACCCCTGCCATGTTGACAATGAGTCATTTAAGGGAACAGCTTGTGAACTTTATTTAAGGGATTGAGCTCTGAACTTTCAGCTATTCAAAGAGAACATAGTGTGTCATTGGAACTTGAAGTGCTTAGGGAAAGCCATATAAGTAATATGTACAGTTTTCATAATAGGCAAAAATAACTCCCAGTACCATGATTCTGCAGTAGCTGCAGTAACTCTGGCCCAAACTCCAGGCTCGTATCTCTCTACTGCCATCTCCAACTTGGAAGTATGATAGGCATCTCCAAATAGAGCTCTTGGATCCCAGAAAAACAGTCTTTACTATGAAAAAAAAATCCTTAGCATCTCATTAAACAACAATTTCCATCTTCCAATTTCTCAGACCAACGCTTTGCTGCCATTCTCATTCTTTTTTTCCCCATCCCACATCCAAACTATCAGCTCAAAATATATAAAGAATCCAGCCACTTCTCACTATATCCTCCACTACCACACTGGTCCAAACCATTTTGCCCAGATCAGAAGAATCTCCTAAGGAAAGTCCTCTCACTTTTGCGTTCGTCTTCTCCCAAAATCACACAACTGCTCAACGGGATAGTTGCTCAGTGTCCCACTTACTTAGGAACCTTCTCAGACTAAAGTCAGTCATGTTGCACTTCTCAAAACACCCTAAAGATCTCCCATGTCACCTCGACTAAAGGTGAAGTTCTTACAGTGGGCTACTAGATATTCTGCATGCCCTACTTTTCAATCATAGATATAACAGCCAGCATACCACTGCTTAAGAGCATGTGGTCACAGTTGGATTGCCTGTGTTTAAAGCTTGGCTCTAATTTATTAGCTTTGTGATGTTGGGCAAGTCAAGCTTAACCTCTTGGCATCTAAACATTCTCATCTGTAAAATGAAATAATTGTAGCACCTATCTTATATGGTTGTTGTGAGAATTTTTTCTTTTTGGTACCGGAAATCGAACTCATGACCTCAGGCATGCCAGGCAAGCATTTATGCTGCTGAGCTATATCCCCAGCCCTTGTTGTGAGAATAATAAATTAATTTTTATAATGAACTACTGACAGCATATAGTGAATGTCATAAATATTTGAAAATGACAAAATAGGCTCTTTTTTTGCTATTAGCAAAAGATCTCATCATAAATTCTGTGTATTAAATCATGACTACAATGGTTTCATCTACAAGAATTTAGTGAGCTCTAAAACACCTCTTAAAGCAAAAGATGGAAAATATTTTGGTTAAATGAATTTAAATGAGCCATCACTTTTCCTGCAAAGATTTCTGAAGCTATAGGCAGATATAGGCCTGATATCTTTTTAATGTATTTTATTAGTGCCTATTATCTTTGTAAAGTCTGGGTTTCAATGTGATATCTTCACACATAGATATAGCACATTTTGATCATACCTATTTTCCCATCATTGTTTTATTCTTTTTATTTATTCTGAGTTTGGAGCTAGAATGGATTATATACCATGATTTATACTTTCAAATATATTGGTACTTTTAAAGCATACAGATGCTGAGCTTCTTAACTAGTAATACTTCAACTCCAAAAATAGATATAATTTGTTCAGTTTACCATATAGATTAGTTTTTAACATATACTGTACATTTGCATACTACATCTGGAATGTTATTACTGCATTAATTGACACATTCTGTCTAGAATAAAACAATAAACAAGTTTATTACACCTGCACATTTCCAGGATGGGCACAGTTGAGTGAATAGTCATGTGAAATTTCCAATTGGGAGTCATAAAGTTGACTTTTTTTTAGTGGAAAAAAATAGCAAGATTCAAGTTTTTTGTGGTGCTGGGGATCAAACCCAAGGCCTTGTGCATGCAAAGCAGGAAGTCTACCGCTGAACCCCATGCCCAGACCACTGCAAGTTTCAATTTTTACAGGGCTCTAAACATTATTTAAATCATCTTGATGGGAAAATGAGAAAAAATGGCCACCAGCCAGGAGTCTGTCACAGCTGACTTTTTATATCAATTTAAAGATGTTTTACAGTAAAGGACACATTTCCAGGAATCCCCTTGAAAATACTCCCCCTCACTTTGAACATACTACACCATCATTCTTGACACTTTCTGAAGCAGTTCTGGAAGTCCTCTTTCAGGAATATTTTTATGAGATGTGATCAAACAGTATGGTTGAATGCTGCTGCTGCTGAGCACCATCCAATGAAAATGCAAGCTTGTCATAACACTGATCATAAAACATAAACAGTTTGGATCAATTTAAGACATCAAGGCAGCCAAGACAGCACAGCTAAAGACCTGCAAGAGTATTCTTAGAACTCCTTCAGAAAGTGGCAAGAATGATGAGATCAGTGTGTTCAAAGCAAGGGAAAATTTTTTGAGGGGAATTGATGGCAATTTATCTTTTATTGTAATAAAATTTTAAATATTCACTGTGTTTTTTTATAATACTCCATACATTTGAAAACAAGAGAAGTCACAGTATTTGTTGAGAAGCACAAAGGGAACTTAGGACTTCTAGGAGATTTGTGCAAAGGAAATCCCAGGAAATACAAATTCAATATTTTTTATCCTTGAATTTAACTTTTAAAATATGACATGAAGTTCTACAATTCTAGAAAATTCTCACAGTTCTACATGGAATTTGAATGTAAAGTAGACCATTTCCTAGAACTCTTAAAAGTTCTCCGTATGTTGGTAGACCAGCTTACAGGTAAAGGTAAACTTCACATATCTGCCATACAAAAATGTTTCAGGCTCAACAATAATACTGTGGGAATTCCTCTGAAACCATAAAGGGAGATACAATATAATTTTTCCTGTACATTAGAAACAAGCAACACCATTTAATAAAAACTTACTCTTACTTAAATAACCACTAGGGTGAGACTTACCATTTCACAGTATTTGTACAAAGGATGAACCCTGCTTTTCTAAGATGTCATTATAATTTTTGTCAAATAATGTTTTTCCTCACTTTTTTCTATTTTAAAAGAAAATTGGCCCTGAAATACCATCCAGACAAGAATCCAGGTGACCCAGCTGCTGCTGAAAAGTTTAAAGAAATCAACAATGCCCATAGCATACTAACCGACACATCAAAGAGAAACATATATGATAAGTACGGATCCCTGGGCCTCTATGTGGCTGAGCAATTTGGAGAGGAAAATGTCAATACCTACTTCATGCTGTCAAGCTGGTGGGCAAAGGTGAATCACATTTTTTTTCTTCAAAAACAATCTCCTAGAGCACCATAACATTATTCATGCTTTTAGACCCTACTCCAAAGAAATACTAATCTTACTACTACTAAACTCTTGTAAATAAAAGGAGACATTACTTCCACTGAGAGTTGTTATCTGAGGAACAGTTTTGCTTTAGCTCATCAATTAATTATAAAATCTAGCTTGACTTAAGATCCTTCTAGACATTAATTATATTTGAGTTTGGAGCTTCAGGTTAATTCTGACTGGCCTCCCTTCCCCTGTAGTGACTAATTAAGAACTGACTCATTGCTCAAAACCAAAAATAACTCATTAGTGTGACAAATGTTTAATACATTATTGTAAGACAAATTTAGCCATGTACTTTACTATCTATAGCATAGACTACATCAGCAAACACAAATCTTGGGGGGCGATTATGTCATGGCTCATGTGGAACCTGCTGTGAGGTAGTGGAAAAGGAAACGGCAGGGGAAAGGTGAGAATTAAGTAGTGGAGGGCAGAACTGGGAGGACAGAGGGAGGGAGAAAGAAATGGAGACCTGGACACCGAAAAGGCAACATTTTTAAGGACTTCATGTTATCAGAATTGACCTTTGTAAAGTAAGTTTTGTTTAGTTTTCTAGGAATCCCTAATATATGTATGTTTAGTCATATTTGTTTATGAATTTTAATATTCTTCTGATGAAAGTCTATTTTCCATGTAGGCCATACATATTGTCTATTAGCCTATTTTGTAGACAGTAAACACTCATGTAAGTGGTGATAAACAATAATTTTTAAAAACCAAATCTCAAAAATGGAGGTTCCATACTCAGTTCTGATTACCATTTTCTTCCATTCTACTTGCTAAGTCTAAGAGCTTTGTATATGAAGGAAGAGAGAGAAGATGTTTTTGTACATACCCAGGCAGAGTAAATCTGCAGTTTAAAGTCATGTTTATCTTCTGCAAACTCTATCCTAGAATTCTTGAGGGGGATATCTGAGAATCTCACAGAAACCCTCTTCTTTTGGGAAGACTTGAGAAGTCAAGATACTGTTAAGTGGATTTGAAACCTGGGATGAAGTATGCATAATGGCAGCATTATTTATGATGATTAGCATTCATGTAACAGTCTGGACTTTGTGAGCTTCCGTGGGAGCCTAGTCTGCAGACATGACATTGTTTCACGGGAAGGAACATCTGCAATTTCAGATAATTAATTCTACATGTACATATGTGTGAACATTATAATCTATCTACATAAAAATGGAAATAGACTTCCTTGCCCAGGAAGTTGATCAAATTGATCTAAAATCTTATATACAAGAAGAATCTATCCAGTAGCGAAGAGATATGCAAATTGTTCCTGATGTGGTTCTTTAAAAATAAAACTACAAAGAAATTCTGCTTCTGCCAAAGCCCAGTGTACGGTGCCCATCAGAATGGCCTGCCATTCACCCATTAAATACACAGCACATGAGTGAATCACATATATATACATACATATATATATATATATATATATAAGTATATCTGGTGCACACATATGTATATTTTAAATATCAGATACTTACTTGTATCTTGTAGCGTGCTAAGCACTGCAAGAGATAAAACAAGATTATTTCATACATAAGGCGAGAAATTTGGAATGACTGAAAAAGGAGGCACATGCCTATAATCCCAAACCTTTGGGAGGTTGAGGCAGGAATACCCCAAGTTTGAGCTCAGCCTGAGGCAATTTAGTCACTTAGTGAGATTCTATTTCAAAATAAAATATTTTAAAGGGCTAGAGATGTGGATCACTTTGACAGCCCTGGTTTCAACTCTGTCTCTGTCTCTCTGTCTCTCTCTCACACACACACACACAACCGTGTATGAATGAAAAGGGGATTTTCAGAGACGAGAATATGGGAACTGCATAGTAAAGTAGAAAAGGGCAAAGGTGTATAAGGGAGAGAAAAGCTCCCTGAGGACAAAGGCTAAGGAACACTCACAGAACAGTCAGGAAGAGGGAACAGGGCAAGTGAGTCAACATTAAAGATTTTTGCTTAAGTTACTGACAAAGTCTGTATTTGTGCTGCACACGGGCAATCTTTGCCTTTTATCTCCCTTGCTCATTAATTAGATAAAAGGCATAATCCACTTTCTCTCTATTTTAAGTAATACATTTTAAATAAAACCATAACATGATTTTGTTCAGTTCACAAAATAGGCTTCTTATAATTTCCACTGAATCAAGGTAGACTGACCATCTCATATGACTTGTGAAAGCCTTCTTCGCTGCTTGGTTTGGTTTTTGTTTTGCTTTGCTCTGCTTTTAATAAAGAGCACAGTACATTAAAAGTAAAGAAAATACTACACTTCATTACTGTAGCTACAAGTTTAAGTCATCTCCTCTGGATCTACCTTATTGGGCACAACTTTATGAAGTTGATTTTCTAGAAACTGTAGGCTAGTTCCTACAGGAGTAAGGGTGAGGGTGGACACGTGGTATGTGAAGTAAACTGTGGTATCTTCAGGATCCAGGGGGTGTACGATTGCACAGTTGGTTTCCGCGGTTATCCTCTCTTCCACAACCCCTCACCCCCATTTGCTTTGCCCTTGCTTCTTCCAGGCCCTGTTCATCGTCATTGGCCTTTTGACTGGCTGCTATTTCTGTTGCTGCCTCTGCTGCTGCTGCAACTGTTGCTGTGGGTACTGCAAGCCCAAGTCATCAGTGCCGGAAGAAGAGATCTGTGTATCACCGGAAGACCTTGAGGAGCAGATCAAGACTGACATGGAAAAAGACGACAGCAGAGGTAGTGGGTTTCCTTCATAGACTTACCTAAGCACCACATCCCACCAAAGTGGAGAGAAATCCAACAACCAATGGCAGAGGGGGGGAATCCCACAGACTGTCGACTTTGGTAGTTCTTTTGGCGATGATAAAGGGGTGATAAAGCTGACCCTGACAGTATTAGAAAGAAATGACCTAATATGCTGATGGTGACAAGAAGGAAGTAAAATTTGATCCCATTATAAGAGATGGGCTGTGGGTTCAGAGAAGTTTGGGTAAATGTGTCCAGGGAGGGAGAACCAATGTAAGAAAGTCTCCCAGGAAAAGCATTTTGGCCTTTTCCTTTAGGATTTCAATTGAAGTAGAAGGAGATAAACATTTTAAAAAGTCATCAAGCCTTGAATTTTTTTCTTTGCATTACTTGATGATGATTTTGGGGTGGGACTGAGGAAGACTGAGCCTTCTTCACTTGAAATATAGCTTCTTTCTAAATATATTTGAGGCTAACCTCAAAGCATCATCAAGAATGAGACTGCTTTGCTAAGCCACCTCCGCACATGCTTGTGCATGCATGATTCTTCAAATTCATTCTACACAGAAATAAAAAAAAAAATGGAAAGAAAGATAAGATCTCAGAGAACTCACAACACTAATGATACTTTAGGTTCTTTGGGAAATGTCTTTGTTTAAGCAATTTGGGGCCCAGCTTGCACAACTTACTTATGAATTATGATCACAGTACGTTAATCCTTCTTGTGAAGGAGATAAATGATTATAAAATCATGTCAAGGGTCACTGGCTGCATTGACCATAGGATCTCTCCCCAACTTCCATCAATCTAGCCAAGTACTCAGTCACTGAGAATAGGAGGGACAGTGAGATAGAAGAATATTGTCACTGTCAGTGTCATCCACTGCGTCAACCTTGTCTTAACTTTTTCTTTATGGTAGAAAAACTGGAAACTAAGAATAAAATGAACTTAGATATCCCAAATCCAGTGCATCAGACTTCTCTGAGAAGCCTCAAGTCTTTCCTCTTTAAATGGGATAAAAGCTCCACCAGGTCATTTCAGTAGACCTTCTTTGTGGAAGATTTCTTTATTGGAACAGAAGTCCAGACTAGATGCCAGATTCCACCCAGGGTTCCTGCCTGCTGAGTGATTGGTGATGGATTTGTGCGCCTCTCCTGTTTTCCATTCTAATACCACAAAGCTACCAATTCTGCTGCAGAGGTGAAATTTTAGAATTACATCTGACTATGTTATTAAAGATTCCTTAACAAGAGGAAAACCTCTATCTTACTATTAAATGTTTAAAATCTCTTATTCAAGGATGATTCAGATTTTGTGGAATCTGAAATTTATGAAATTTGACCAACCCTTTTTTTCAGAAAACAAAAACACAAAATACAATCTGAAAGTGAATATTTATTCAAAATGAGAAAATAATCACAGCAAATTGCAAAGCTTAAAAACTGACAAGTGTCATATATATATGTATATATATCACAAAATCAAGAAAAATAGCAATCATTTAATTAGCTGGCTAGCATATCTGTATAATACTATTCTCTATGGCTGCATTGTCTTTGATTGATTCTTCATATAACAATAATTTAAAAATATACTTTTCTATAGGAAAATATAAAAATAATTCTGCCTTTCCTCTAATGTATTTAATTCAAATTTGGTTTTTTATTATTGGTGAATTAGAAAGGCTTCTTTCAGCTTTGTAAATCCTTATTGATAATGTCTAAATTCTAGAGATTGTTGTAAAATTTTGGAAAACTACGTAGTTTATTTTATATACAAGATGTAAGGTTTCAAAGAATTTCCATAGGACACTTTTAACTTTGAATATTTCAAAAGTTTTTGTCCCTACAATACCCAATACTCCTTGGTCAGACCTAGTAAACATATGCATATTATATGGCATTACCTCTGGCCTGGCTCTTCATGTCCCCTTAGTAAGTGAGTTGGCATAGAGCTGTGGGAATATTTCTAAACTCATTCCTGCACCCACCTGGCTAACTATACGTACATACAGTTGCCATAAATCACAAAAATATGTCCCACTAAAATTCAAACAAAACCTATTCCCAATTCTATTTTCCCTTAACTAACCCCCGACAACCTTTCTGGCATCACTTGTGAGGAAGAGGGAACGTCAATGTGGAAAGCGACAGTATTTTTCCTGATTGTGTGTTCAAAATATATTTTTTCTCCCAGTCTATGAAAATGAGCTGCTGGAAGGGTCTGTGAAAGTGCAGACTCTCGAGGCTTACATTTTATCACCTGCACAGTAAACACACTGCTAATCTTTGGTCTGACATTTCATTTTGAGGATATTTCCTTCATTTACAGTTAGTTGCATTAGTTAGTTTCAGATTTGTACTCCACTAATTCAGAGGTTTAATGTAGTTTACAGGTAAAATTAATTCAAACTAAGTCCAGTAAGGATGAAAAGCAGACCTAACTGAAGACTATAGTTCCTGCACTGTGGGACTGTGTGAATCCACTTAAAATTATTTAAGAAAATATACTTGAAATAGGGTGCTAGTCTCTTGGATATCAAAGTACTCATGATAAATAATAAGCATCATACATCAAGACTCGGTGCAAAATGTAAATGTAAATGCCCTAGAGGGAAAATGGAGAAATTAGAAGGCAATAGTTTGACACTGGGGCTTTGATAAGTTTATTTTAGAGGAATTAAACTTAAAATAGCAAGTTTTTCTTACTCTGGACATTTTTTGTTTTTTATGTTATAGCTAATCATATATGTATATCTAATCATTTGTATTAATCTCATCCTAGGGTTTTATATAGTTGGAAGAGACCCAGTGAATTCACTCAGTACTTTTCATTTCTTTTTCTTACCTTAGTGCATTGGCAAAGATTTCCAGCACTTGGTTTTCTGTTCTGTGGTCAGTGTTGATATTTCCTTTATTTTGACATAGGGTCTTGCTAAAAGGCCCAAATTAGCCTCAAACTTGGGATTCTCCTTCTTCCACCTCCCATGTAGCTGGAATTACAGGTGTGTGTCACAGAGCCCAGCTTTTGAAATTCTTAATTTTTAAATATAGCATAGGATATTTTGTTTTTCACTGGGTTTTATAAATAATCTAGCCAGTAAGGATTTTTTTTCTAGAAAAAGAGAAGGGGAAGCTAGCTGAGATGAGACATGGTAGATGGTGAAGAATAAGTGGAACCAGGGATTTATATAAACTGTATAGCCAAGGGGCTGGGGATTTAGCTCAGCAGCACAGTGCCTGCCTGGCAAGTGCAAGGTCATGAGTTCGATTCCTGGTACTGGAAGAGAAAAGAAAACATAACTGTACATCCAAAAGCCAAACTTCAGCTTATACTGGGCTTAGAGATTTGACCAGTATATAAGATTACAGCTGGAAGCTTATTTTTCATATATAAATATCAATTTTAATGAAGTATAGCCTTTAATTCGGCTATCATTCTATCTTTTATCTAGAAAGGTCAATGTATAAGATAATAAAACTAATATGAGGTAATCTTCTCTCTAAATAGGAATAATAACTGATTAATACTTTGTTGTCTTATACTTTATAAGACTAAGAAGAGAAACGAACAAGGGTTAAGTAGAGAAAAACATTTCTGATTTGAATTCAGTAACTAACCACCTCAAATTTCACTTTTAAGATTCATATTACGGAGCCTTATTGTTCCTAATTTATGAAAATCCAAATTTGGAACATCAAACCATTTTTTACCTATTTACTTATTTTAAAAAATTAGAAATGTTTTTCATCTGCCTTGAGATAGTTTAACAAGTCTGCTTTTATATCTAAAGCTCTTTTGTTGCATATTTTTATTATGGGCTTATTTCAGTTATATCCCGTTTGTTCACCCTTGCTAAAGTCTAATATATTTTCCAATGTGTAACAAGTAAAAGTCTCTGTTCAGGAGTGGTGGTGTAGGGCGAGGATTGGCAGAAAACAGAAGGGATTTGTTTGGGTTATTTTGTTTTTTTCATCCATTTTGGAGGGTGTAACCTACATTTTACCTTTAAGATATAAAGAAAAGTTCGAACAGTGGCATTTTCATTATTCACTAGCAACTAGAGAACTTGTTAGTGGATTCCCATTTCTTTCTCAAAATAAAAATGTACTCCTAGTGAGAGTCTAGGAAAATCCTATTGCTCTTAGGAATCTATCAAGATCAAATGAAAGAGAGATAGTGTCTTCTAGAATAGAGAATGACACCCTTTGCTCTTGTGTATGTTTGTGTGGTTTTGTTTGTTTTTTGCCTTTGAAAAACTAAAATGTGATAGGTACAATAAAAGGTAGTAACTGAGTACCAGCACACCTTACTTATGAAATATGTACGAGGTTATTTCCCTTACTTTAACAGTTTCCTAAATTAGAAGCTGACATCTGAGTAGTATGTTTAAAATAAGTTCATTTAGACCCTATCTGACTATGTCAGCCAAAGGCCACAATTAAGTCAGAATTCCTCTAGAGAGAGAGCTTTATAGACCATCTTGAGATGGAACTTTGTATTTATATGTATTTGTAACAGTGTAGCAGTGTACAAAAGCAATAACTTAAATTTTAACTAACTATCTCTGAAGTGATATCTCAGTTTAATGTTCTTTGCAAACATAGTCATTGTACAAATTCTGCTTCAAAAACTATTTAGAACAGCCTAATATGACTCTCCCTGCCTTGCTTGGCATCTAGAGCACCATTCAGCGTCTTTTCTACAGGGATTCAGGGGAAGACTGCCCAGTAATTCACTTCTATCAAGACTCATCGCTCTGGAAGAGCAAACCTAAAATGTAATGGCTAAATTCATATTGTTTTTTCTTCTAAGATGAAGTCAGTGTAATAAAATCTAACCCAAACTTCCAGCTAACCTCTAAAAATCTTGGGGACTCACAATCCCTCCTTTTTGAAGGAGGGGGAATAAAGCATCTAAAGGACAAGGAGATTTTATAGTACTGACCTTGGATCTAAAATTGCATATGATTCAGCACCTAGAAAAATCTG